AAATAATTCACTAAAAATATAATTTTTTATATGTGAAAGACTTATAATATGAACTAAAAGCCTGCCAAATTTTGTGAAGATATACACACTATATTGAAAATTAGAAGTATTAAATCTATAAAGACTGTAATCGAGTACAAAGAAGTTAGAGGTCGGTCAAATTGCCCGAGCCCATGTTCAGAGAGTTAACCGTATCTAACATAATACGTTTCTAAGTTTTATGTTTTTGTTACTTTTATAACCATAAATAATATACATGAAAAACAAGAAATATAGTAATTATGTTTGACAGAATAATAATATGTACAAAGCAAGCAATGTCCTATGACTATTATAATTTAACTGGTTTTCTAACTAGGACAAGAGCAGTTTAAATTAATCCCCTTTTCTGCTCAATTACCATGAGATAGACTTTCAAGCTGAAAATGAAATCAGCAGTACTCTGTACTGAAAACAACATAATATTATATGTCGTTTGATTGATTAGAGCTTTGCCTTTCTATTAGTTTGAATGTCTGAAAGAATTATTATCAATTTGTGAAATAGAGGATGTGAGCATGGTCTGATTTTCAAGTTTGTGAATCTGTAAACAAATATGAGTGAAGTCTTTAAAAACTAGACTTTGTCTGAGTAATATCTATATTATAATAAGTAACATTCATTAAATTCCATACTTCAGAGAAGGGTAGTAAACAAATTAGAGAAGACCTAGAGAATAAATCTCATGATTTTCATACTTGGAGAGATTGAGGAATTTTTTTAATTTCCTTATAAAATTAAAAACTTAAATCAAATTTTAATACAAGTTTTATTAACTTTGTTTTGATACCAAAGTTATTTGTATACATTGATAACAAAGTAGTTTAATTAAATTGTAAATGTAATCTGTAAAATGTTGTGACATGGGCAATATGACCTACCTGTAGTGATAGGGTTAATAGTTTTTACTGCATCATAATGGTTCTAGAGTAAACTTTGGATAAAGATATATTTTTTTGTGTTTTTGACTGTTTTTTGAATTGCTAGATCTGCCTGCTTCAATACAATTTATTGAAATGATCCAGTGTGATATTACTGTGGAAGAGTTTAGAGAAAACTTACCTTGTTACCATAGTTGGTTGATTTATGAAACTACTCTAATGCAGTAATACTGTGAAAACATTTGAGAAAATATTGATTTGTTGTTCTGTTTTCCACAGTTGGTTAACTTATTAAACTTGTTCTGATGTGTCAAACATCATGGAAACTTTATCTTATGGTCCTATACTCTGCTGTTGTGAACTCATTAACCCTATCTGAACCAGGGAGCTGCTGCAGATGTGTCGAGTGCACACCTACATATGGAATTTTACAAATTATGTGAAATTAATAATTATTACTAAGCAATTTTTAACTTTAGAAATATTTTAGAATTGATATTTAGTGTAATTCATAAATAAGAATGGTAAAATGTTTAAATTTTCATTTTGCGCATCTCACAGCATGTGGTCTGAACAATTACTAATGTAGGTCATCCTTGAAAAATGTTCAAATACAGCTGGATAGAGCAGATTATAAACTGTTTACATCAGTATAGAGTAAATAATATAGTTTGATCAGTGATATATGGTTTGATGGTAAAATTACTAGCCAGAGCTCATGCAGGAGTGAACAAAGGAATCTAATGAGAAATGTAGAAGTCTTGAGAACAAAACACAGATTTGGGAAAAGTTTTTATAGATATTTTTTTTCATTCCTGAATATGTCTTGTATTTAATTATATCTTCTTGAAAGCTGCAGAAATTTTCTCCTACGACAAGATATCAGGCAAGCATCGTTATGCTAAAGAGTATTGTAGGCAATGGCAAGATATCCCAGTGACTCAAATCTTTATTTGTTGAATATTACTATTATGTATATTTCAGTCAAGTAAGATAAATTATTGTTTATTGAAAAGAGTCAATACTTATTAGAAATAAATTAATGTTGCTTTTATGTAGTGAGGTTCTTGATCACTTGTATATCTTTGTCAGTTTTGTTGTTCTTTTTTTATTATTTATAGCTGAAAATGGTGAGTACTACAGTTCACAAAGTAAAGTATCAAAGGAAACATGTTAATGAATATCAATCAAATTGAAGCTAAATGGATAAATAAAATTGTACTTTCTGATAAACAGTGCCTTACCAAAAGTTATGGAGATTGCAAAACATAAGAAATGATAGAAATACTAAATACTTTTGTTCTTGGAAGGAAATTACATTTCCATATCATGGTGGTTGAGAAGACTATAGAGGATCATGTCTTGTAGTCCTATCATCATAATTAGTTACTTTATTAAACTATACTTCAGTATGAAAGTGCTAGAGAAGGCTAGAGAAAAACTTGACCTTTAGTCCTATCATTGTAATTGGTTGATTTATTAAACTATACTTCAATATGATAGTGCTGGAGAAATTTATTATTGTGCTGAAGAAAACCTTAGAGAAAATTGACTTTTAGTCCTGTCAATTTGAATGTTTAATTGTGGTCTTGCCTTCTTTATCTAATTATTGTGCATTAGTACTGAGTAGACATTTTATTTGAAAATAATTTGTATATTTTTCTTCAGTATAGCAGTAATGTGAAATTTTTCCTTGTGTTGCCATCATCCAGTGATGATTAACAGTTTTTGGTAAAAGCCATTGATGTTGGCATTCCTAGTTGAAGAACCTTGTTTTCTTTAAATGTTTATTTAAAGCTAATTAATCAACAAGAGGAAAACTTTGTAATATTTGTACTGATTGAATATATTTTCTCATTGTGATGCTAGAAGTACCTAGGATAGATAATATTTTGGCCAAATTGTTTTTATTTTATTGTTTAATTTCATATTCTTTATATTCCATTTACTGTTCCATATTTCAGATTTTTTTTTCCATAAATTTCAGAAGTTACTTTTTGAGCTGACAGCAAATAAGAGGGTAATAATCTAAACATAAGGTATACAGATACTAAAATTAAGAATTGTGCTCATCTTCAAACTGTTTATAAAAAGTTTATTTGTCATTTATTGAAATTGATATGTTTTAACAAATAATTTTCTAAAATTCTGTGTGAAATAGGTGTACTTTAATTATTATAAGATTTTAAAACACAAAAAATAACATTTAGATTATTACAACAGAAGCATTTTTAAATTTAAACAAAAATATAGATTATAGCTTACTGAGGAATGTTTTCTAACTTGTTGATTGTAGGTACGGGAAGGAAACCAAAATAATAAAAACAAGTCTAGTTCTGGGATGATGATGCAGCTGAGGAAAGCTGCAAACCATCCTCTTCTACTTCGAAACCATTATACAGATGAGAAGTTGCAGGAGATGGCAAAAGCAATAATGAAGGTAAAAAACTAAGTGAATGATATTAAAGTGTTACCTTTCATAACAGGAACTTATTTTAACAAGTCTTGAGAATACTTGCTAAATGATGACCAAATGATATTTTTAGCTTTAACTTATGAAAATAATAAACAAACATTGTTAATTTCATAGATTCAATCATGTAAGTTTTGAACAAATTTGGCACCTCGCCATTTTACAGTTCATATCTTTATGTCTTACCATGCTATATCTGATAACTGTGCATTTTGACAATAGCCATGCAGCATAGTTTCCATTGCAAAAGTCATTGTCTTAATGCTGCTGTGTCCATAGAATACATTTCCTCCCTGCATGCTTTACATATTTCATAATCCAATAACAGCAGTATCTAAGTATCTGTTTAAATATTCCAGTCACACAGAAATACATAGGCACTGTGACTGGTGGCTTGACCAGTATCTCTTCTTCAGCTGTTTGAGGTATATGGTAGTTGAATGGACATGTCGTGAGTGCAGCTTATGTAGCTGTGACTTTTGTCACTTTTACAGATGGAGTTCCTTCTTAATTATGTTATTATTGTCTCAGACATGTGTGGAGGTTTGGCTGCAGATTCTTGTGTTTATAGATTCTCACTTATTACAGAATGCTGCACTTTGTTTACCATAACTGAGGTATGACATATTGTAGATCACTTTCTGAATGGTCCTGATGCCCCCATGTTTGTCCATACTCCTTTGTTTTCCAACCAATGCAATTAAGTACAAGAGATATTCCCATCTTATATTCTAAGTCACTGATCTGAAAACATCTTTATGATCTGAGTGTATGAATATTATGTGTCAGAAAGGGCTATACGTTCCTTTCCCAAAAGTGATCAGTTTTTGGCAGTATTGCATTATCAACAAAATGCACAGAGTGTCAAAATATAGTTCTGATACATTCTTTTTCACTCCAACATAATATTGACTGTAGGTGTTATTTGACTTGCTGACTTACATATTTAAAATCATTTTAATATAATGTACTCAACCATCTATAGTAGTATTAACAGAAAATTTTGGATAAGCCATGCTTAAATGATTTCTGTTAAATTCTTTGCTGTACCAAATACACAAAAGTGAAAAGAGTTTAAGAGTATTTCAATTCAACTCATTAACAACTCAAATTATAAAACAAATTCCTTAATGTTCTGTTTCAGCCATTAAGAATGTCAACTTTTTGTCTCAGATTAACATTTGGTAGCTACCCTAAACAAAACATAAAACTAAATATTGCTATAAGGTTAGGTTTTATCTCTTCAGAAGTCACAGCTTGCATGTCTGTGCACAATCAACTTTCATGTGGGGCGTTTTTGTTCTGTTGTGAAAGGTACATCCAAAAGTGACTGGAGAAGCCATTTTAATATTTCTATTGTTAATATGTTTAATTATTTCTTTATAATTATCATATGAAAAAAATATTGTAAATTATTAATTTTGAGTTGCTGAAGACAATGTCACATGCAAGAGATCTTTATTTTGAATAAACTTCATACTTTAACCAGTCAACAACTTGCATAGAAAAATCACATGCACAAAATACTTGTGCTGTTCAGGCTGATTTGAACATCGAGCTGCATTTGTTTGTTCTGCAAAACACTCAATAACAATAATTAAGTTTTTGACTTAATAAGTATATGGCCATTTTTTTGGTGGGATTTACTGATGCTGCTATATAGTGCAATAAAATAAAAAACTTTAGACAAGTCTTATTACAGTGACATTGTTGTAAAAGATATCCACATGATACCTTTATCATAGCTTGAGAAATTTCAGGCTCCATATGATTATGTGAGCTATCTGCATATACTCATGGATCTATGTAAACTTTCTGATCATCAGAATCACACAACCATTAATCCAAAATCAACAAATTTGTGAAGGAAAGCATAACAAATTAAATATTAATTCTACTGCCTTTGTAGTTTGTACCATAAATTATTAAACTTTTTTACAAATTATGGTAATAATGTATTATTACTGTATTACTGTCATAAATGTATTAGTTAGAAAAATATGCATGATATTTGTAAATACATTTCAAAATGTAAAATGAATAGGATTTTATTAACGTGATCAAATACATTGCAAAAAACTGCAATATATATATATATGTGTGTGTGTGTGTGTTCCTGAGGGTACTCCAGGGGGTCCTCCAATTATGTCAAAAATTTCATAAAAATATTTAAAAAGATATCATTTATAGAATTAAAAAATGTTCATAAAATTAAATTTATATGAATTACAACATTCAATTTTAGAATACAGATTTTCATGTACATGGAATCTTTTTCTTCAAAATAAAAAACATCGATAGGTTTGGGGTCCTTGGGTTACTAAAGTCAGCTGTCTCGCCATGCAGGTGTTCTGCCCAGCACTGTCTAACCATGCTGTTAGTCTTCCTGTAGGCATATTACCCTCACCGCCACTTACTATGATATCTCCCATCATTAAACATTAATTCTAATCCATTTGTAGTTTGTACCTTAAATTATTAAACTTTTTACAAAATAAGAAAAAGTGTTAGGTAGTAAAATATGCATGATACTTCTAAATATGTTAAAAATGTAAAATGAATAGAATTTTCATAACATAATCAAACATCATTGCAAAAAACTGCAATATATGTATGTATGTATGTATATGTACACGTGTGTGTGTGTGTGTGTGTTTCTCAAACTGGTGTCTGTGAGGGTACTACAGGGGGGTCTTCAAGAATTTCATATTATTATTTAAAAATATATTATTTATATAATTAAAAGTTTTCATAAAATTAGATTTAGATGAATTAAAACATTTAATTTTGGAATACAGATTTTCATACACAAGGAATCTTTTTTTATTTTTTATTTCAAAATAAAAAAAATTGATAGGTTTTGGGGTCCATGAAAAACATTTTAATTAACTCTTTCAACATGGGCTTGGTCAATTTGACTGACCATGTAACCTCTTTATACTCATTCAAAGTCTTTATAAATTTGATACTACTAACTTTTAATATAGTGTGTATATCTTCACAAAATGTGACAGTCTTTCAGTTAACATTATAAGTCTTTCACATACAAAAAATAACATTTTTTATTGAACTATTTGTAATAAACTAAAAAAAATTTTTAGTCCTTGAATATATTGAGTATTTGTTTTGTAATAGTCC